TTTGGCAAGCGCATGCGCCCTGTAGCAAAAACCTCTCCACCCCCCCTCCCCCCAAAAATGACATAGGATCCTCAAAAAGGATGTGAAATGGAACAGAATATTTGGCTACAAATTAGCTGCATTAGACTAGTAATGGTAGAATTAGAAACCAATTTTTTGACTCTCGGCTTTATTTTCTTTTCATTCCATTTCTTTTTCTTCTTTTTTTAATTGTCAGAGGGTGTGTGAACTCTGTCAGCCATGTGGGATATAGCTCTCTTAATCACAGTGCTACATGGCTAATCCTGGTTGTATTTTCATTACTTGTTTTTCTCCTGATTTTATTAAATTTCATTTTCAAATACGATTATAAAAATAGTAAGTCAGGGCCAGCCAGGTGGCTTGTTGGTTTAAGTGGCTGGATCCTACAGGGCCCACAGTGCAGTTTTGAATTCCTGACTCGTTGACTTAAAAACACACTAGGCACACATGTTTGACTGCCCAAAATCTTAAGAATGGAGGAGAAGTGGTTGTGGCATGATCATCCCTTTGGGGGATGCTTTTTCACTTTCTCTCTCTCTGTGTCTCTGTCTCTCTCTAGTGAGCACACATGCCCTATACCTAATTACAAAAACAAAACAACCTCTCTCAAGACATAAATTTTAAAAAGCAAATAAATTAGCAAATACAAAAAAAAGTGTAAAGAATAAATTAAAGATCATTCTTGGGTTCTCCACCCCCCATGATAATCACTGGTTTATGCTGGTAAGATCCTTTTGAAACATTCAGCATAGCTCTGTAGTATGAAAGAGAACCAAGAACCGAGGAGTCAGGGCTTTGAAGGAAGAAGTGTATGTTCCTGGTGGCCAGCCAGGAGGTGGTGATAGAAGCAATCAGCATGAGATAACTCCAAGAGGAAAGTGAGACTCAGAAAAATAGCTGAGGCCATCTGTTTCCACCTGGACATTTCTTTCCACCCGGACACTGCCTTCAGAAACCTCGATGCATCGTCTCAAAACATGAAGGGCTCATTTTATTTTAGGAAGCGTGTCATTCCTTTACACTTCTCTGTCTACATCGCAATCACAGTATCTCAGGTGCTGGTGTTAGGAAGCAAGACCCTGATGGCATAAAGTGTCCCAAAATAGATACGACCACATAGAATTTGTTTCCCTGTTGATCTAACACAGAAGTATAACAAAGAGAAATTAAAATACCCTGAAATAATTAGCTTTAAGGTAGAGTGGAAAAAAGCTAGCCAAAGGGAGTTTTCAAAGAGGCAAGCACAACAAATAGCTCCACATACGCAACACATGGGACTTTTTAGGACTGTGAGAAAGGGAGGGAGGGGAAAAGAAAGGGGAAAACTTGGGAATGACATGTGTTCAGGTCAGAAAGAGAACAAGTTAAGGCTTTGGGGAAATGGCTGGATGCCTGGCTATGGAAATATTTACCCAAGTAGGCTAAGCTTAATTTAGGGACTACAAATTAGAACAAAGCAATGTAAAACATATTTAATCTACAGCATTCATTTAGTGTATACTTATTGAATACCTACTTACTACTTACATTAGCTATGATTTCTACCCTGGGAGTATTTATACATGTGTGGGAGGGAGGGGGGAAATATGGGTGACTCAGTCATGACTGTACAGAGGGAAGTCCATGGCAGAATAGGCACCTACAGCTTTGAGACTTCACAGGAGGGGCATCTCTTCAGAGGACCGCTGTGAAGTATTCGAAACAGCCTTTCACAGTTGCACAGCGTTCTTAGAGGACATTTGGGGGTTGGGGGGAAGAGATTTCAGACCATTGAGCTTATGATTTGAAGAATAATTGTAAGGTCTATTGCGTCTTCCTCCGAAATCTAACTACCCTTAGATTCCTCTCAAAGTTTCAAAGACCTTCATGTTGAAAAAGAAATGTATTATAGCTAAAATAACCCACAGAGATGAATACTCTCACATTTTTTTCTACTTTTCATAAGAAACAAGAGATGAGAGCAAGAGGGTTCCCTGGGGTAGGCTCCCTTAAAATACTTGGTTAATGAGTTGTCAGCTGGACTGCTGGAGGGACGGGACTGTTGATTACCAACTCTTGCATTACTCTTCATGTACACTAGGTGGCAGAAGCTCCCTGGTATGGAATGTAAAGGCCCTGGAGAGAAAACCATACCAGAACTTCTGATCATAAAGTATTAAATATTAACCTATTTTATCATTGGAGACAAATGCAATGCTTTTTTTTTTCTTTTTCATGGCACTACTTTCACTCCTAGCTTGGGGAAAACAGACAGTAGTGATGCTTCTCTAAGGTGATTGTGCTGTCAACACCACACAACTAAACTGACTCCTGGGGTTTCTTCACCCACTTCCTCTCTATAAAGAGATTATGCTTTCTAGAATCTCTCTCTTTCTTCATCTTTTTTATTTTCAGAAGCCTTAGGAATTACTGTCCCTGGCCTTGGTGAGCTTGCAGAAATGCCAGAAGTTCTGATTAAGGATTGCCCACTTTCACTCAGGACAAAGATTGGAACTGCAGATTTTTTAACCGAATCACGGTATGTGATCACCTTACTACTTGATTATCTCTATTGTTCTTTTATTTTTTAAATTTTATTTATTTATTTATTTAATTAGGAGAGGTTTTTGCTACAGGGCGCATGCCCTCGCCAGGGAGACAAAGTGAGAAATTACCCCCCAGGGGGGATGGCTATGCCCGCAGGCCCTTCTCCATTTCCTCTTGGGATCTTGGGCACGCACGCACACACGTGCCTGGCGTGAGTTTAAGCCACTGGGTCTGGGACTCAAACTGTGTCAACTACATGGGAGTTCAGCGACATAGCCATTACGCTAAATCCTGGTCTCTATCGTCATCAGTTCTGTATTACTGGTTTTCATGCAGTCAAGGAAAAGCAAGAATATAGTGGCTAAATGCTTGGACTCTAAAGTGACTGCCTGGTTTAAATACAGAGTCAGTTACTGGCTGTGTGACTTTGGGCCTACTGCTTAGCTTAACCTTTCTGTTACTCTGTAAATTGGAGCTAAAAATAGAATACATTTCATAAGGTTATGGTAAGGATTATTGCCTGGCACACAGTAGTCATTATTTATTTCCTACCACTTTTGATTCCTTTTCAACATTTTATCATGAAAATAAGTTAGCAGATGAGTAATGCTGCCACCAAAAATAAGCTAAATTTTGTACAAGTATTTTAAATAGGTTGGCCAAAAACCATTGCTAGTATTTCTATGGCAATTAAGCTCAAGAAAACATTATAATATAAAAACAGTAAAAAAAAATTAAATACATGAATTAGTTTAAAATATAGAAACTAGAAAATGTTAGAAAAAAGTGAATGCTTAAATTTCCTTAGACATCAAGTGATAGTGAAATACTACATCTTGTTCATTGTTCATTCACCTGAATACTATCCAGAATCTTCTATCCCCTTCCTACAGTGTATTTGTGTCCCCTTCAAACTTCACGTACTGGGGCTAGCAGGTGGCATGGTGGTTGGGGCACTGGGCTGCCACACCACCGGCCATGGTTTGAATCCTGGATCTGGCGGCTTGCTTTCTTTTCCTCTCTGGTGAGCACACATTCCCTCTAGCAAATTAAAAAATAATTTAAAAAAGTTAAATAACTCTTTTAAAAAAATTCATATACTGAACCCCTCACCCCTAAGGTAATGTTATGAGGAGGTAGAGTCTGGGTGAGGTGATTAGGCAATGGGTCTGGAGCTCTTACTGATGGGATTCATGCCCTTATGAAAAAGACCAAAGAGAGATCCCACACCACTTCTACCACATGACACAAAAAGCAAGCTCCATCCATGAGACAGGAAAAGGTCCCCAACAGACATCAGATTTACCTTGACTTTGGATTTCCTGGCCTCCAAAAGTACAAGGTAGGAATGTATATTCTTTAAACTACCCAGCTTATGGTATTTTGCTATGGCAGCCTGAGTGGACTAAGATGTAACCATATACATAAGCGGTCTTCAAAACGTTCATGGAAAATTCATATGATGGAAAACTATGGAGCTGGACCCATAGTGCAGTTATACACTATGAGTTGGGTGCTAGATTCCTCATGGCTAACTGCTATTCAAATTCAGCCCTGGTGGCTTGGGAAAACATGCTGGGAGCATGTGCATGCAGATCCAAAATCTCGACAGGATGATCACATTCCTTCTCATTGGTGAGTGCATGTACCCTCTGGCAAAAGCAGAAAAATCACAGGGAAATGATGCGTGAAAGTGAAAATTTTCTGTAACCCCCCGTCTTCTGAATGAGCACATTAAATGTCAGTTTTGGGGGAAGTGGCTCATCAACTGACATGGTATCAAAAAGTTGCTCTTTCTAGTGAAACTGAAGATTGAATCCACTTTTGCCTATAATTTAGAATTTAAAGTTGGTGCTTGGATCTCAATCTCCTTTTTACAGTCCTTTCTTTTGGATTGCTGGTTAGTCGATACTAAGCATAAAAGTAATGGATTCTATGGGACTTGGCTGTGTCTGTCTCAAGTAAACCTTTCTTTTTTTAAAGATTTATTTAATTTTATTTATTATTATTTCTTTATTTTTAATTTGACCAGAGAGAGAGAGAAAGGAAAAATGAGAAAGCAAGCTGCCAGGTCTGAGACTTGAACTACAGTCAGCCATGTGGGAGTCTAGTGCCTTAACCACCACACCACCTGCTGGCTTCTCAAGTAAATCTTTCTTAAAAGGCTGGTCGAGAATCTAAAAGGACAGAAAGTGACTGCAAGAACTGACTGACTGAACTCTTTTGTGCCTGATTTGCTAATGAATGCTTCTTTACTAAATGTCTGAGTGTGGCAGAATTTGGCCTAGCACATGTTTCTATTACAACAATGAAAATGTAAAGGAGTGGCTACCCCATATCCATCTCAACTTCTGAGGCACAAACTATCTTCTAAAAACAAAACCAAACCTAAGAGTTGAGCATGACCAAATTAGCTTGGTTCAGTTTACAACAATTATATGACACATATAAAGTCATGTTTTTCCATTTTTATTTTAAACATTTCACATTAAATGAAATTTAGCCATAATCATTACAGAGCATTACCACAATAATACACAGAGAACTTTAAAAATAAGACAAAAGAACACAACCTTCAGCAAGTTAAATGCCACGTTACTATGTAAACAAAAATAAAATAAAACCCTGATGCTAAAAAGGTACATAATCAGAGGTAAAATACTTATACAGAAACATTTAAACATGAAAATAATCCACACCTAGATCACATTCTTTGCAGGAGTACAAACATTAGTACTCCACACCTACAAAATTTCAGAATCCTGTTAAGATCAAAACCATCTCTGGTTTATGATACAGCACAATTCATAAGGCAAAAATATAGGCATTATCATCCAGTTCTTTAATTTCAGTTGTATTTTAAGGCAAACTTGGAACTTTTTGCTTAGTATTTTAAAATAAGTTGGACTTACACATGATAAGTTGACAAAATTAACAATAAATTATCTCTAGTTAAATATGTGTAATATAAAAGACACATGGATAACAATTTTTCTCTCTGCAGAGATGTAAACTGGATTTTTATTTGACTCCATGTTCACACCGATAAGAAAGTCTGTAAACCTACTATATTTAAAATATATCGTATTCCTCATTCTTTTCAAATATGTATCAACACTGAATATACTTTAAGTGAAAATCCAATACATATCTAACCACAGAATAATCGTTATCTAATTAAATCATGTCTAAAGTGCTGTTTACAAAGGGAAAAAAGGTTAGGAAGAACTGGATGTTAACTTGACATGTGACATCTTGTAATTTTACTTTCAGACGACGGAGGTTATAGAGGTTATCACAAGTTTATTGAACTGTTAAGTTTATTGTAGAATCTGATTTTCCTGAAAATGAGCACTTAGGTGACAATACTAGCAATCCAACACCAAAGCTAAAAATAAACACGGCGTTATATATACATATTATTTTCCTCAATGTTAGCCAGTCTTGATACTAAAGGAAATAGATCCCCCCACCCATAGTTTTGTTTTTTTCTTCTAACAGAAAACAAACTATCCAATTACAGAAAATTTGGAGTTCTATAAGCACTGGGGTTTTTTTTAGTAGTTCTTTTTCATACCAACAAAATCTATCTGGACACTAAAATACATTTATATATAAAGCAGGTCTCTCATCACTTCAAATGTTATGGAAGATAAAGAATTAGGTTCATACTTCACCAAAACAATGATTCGAGTGAGTACAGGCCTCCTCACACTGTAGTTTACTCTTTGAGTGAAAAGAGTGTATCTCACTTATACTCCTAGCCCTCACACCATCTTAACAGAACGTTTCTTATCTGTCCATATGTGTCAAACAATCAAAACCTAATGCCGTTTTCCTGTCACTTGATACCACTTTCCATAATGTAACAGTCACTCATTTTTCAAACAATATTAGCAATTACATACGGAACTTGTAACTATCCTTTGGGCTACATTAAAAATCACTTAATTTCTAATACTATATCCGATGAATATTAAATAACCAAGCATTCTTAACACATTAACATAATCATAGAATGGCTATTGTCTTGCAACTGATAAACTTCGATTTCTCATTGCCATTCTTTTCCAAAATATTTCTGGGCAATCTTAAATAGCCCCTCCTTCCCTCAATATTATGGTTATTTCTAATACCTTTAACCCTGAAAATTAGTACCAAGCACTTGGATCCTTATTAACATAAAAAATATGTGGCTTTAAATTCAAAATTTGTCAGCAGAGCATAATAAAATTTCTTAAAAATTTATAGTTTCTAGTAGAAGGCTCTATTGTAAACTCACCTGTTGTCAGGTCATATCAGTAGCTCTAGTTGTGGTGAACAGTACAGCAGGTTTAGCATTTCTAAAATAAACATATTCCTAGGGTTTGACTGCTTCTTCTATTCCCCTCAAAGTTTTCATAGTTTATTTACCGGTACATGGTTCCTACTATTGCCCAAGATGTTTCATATGCAGTCTTCACCAATGTGAAATTTAGATTTTCAAAACCAATGATCAGTATATATTTTTTTAATCTAATATACCAAATGATTATAAATTTTACACTAATTTGAGAGTGGCAATGATACATGAATAAAATATTGTTAAAATAAAATGTGTAGTACAGATGTGTTTACAATTAATTTTCTGCAGTCTTTCAAATTCTCTTAAATTTTCTAAGCTTTCGAATTCCCTTATCTTCTGGGAGAGAGTAAAATAGTAAAATCTGATCATTTGACTGATTTAAATAAAGAAATCTGAATCGGGAATTTAAATATGTGAAGGAATCTATTTTAAATTACTTTCCTTTAAATAAAATCTAGGCCTACCATAATAGTGCACCTTATTTCTATTCAACAGATTTATTCAAATCAATGAAAAAGTTATTGCTATATATTATGTTATTCAAACAAGCAACATAGAAAATAGACTCAATTTTATTAGTAGCTCCTGCTGAGTTCTAAATTAGAAGAGACTAAAATTCACTTGCAAAGCTTTATAATCTGTGCAAATATTTGTAAAGCATGATACTATTTTTATGATTAAAGATGCTTTTACACAGTTCTGTAGTATCTATTCACATCTACAAGTGGCAGTTTATGGAAGAATAAGGAAAACTGCAAATTGCCTGGCTACAGATTTTTAAGAAATGACATATATGCTAACAAATAAACCTATGTTGTATAATTACCAATGGCTTCTTAAGAATCGTTTAAAACATTATGGCACTTAAGAATGCAGTATGAATTTTCCTCTTAGGAAAAAAAATATAAATGGGTCTCACAGAAACTTTAAAAAGAGATAGTGGGCAGGTTAAAAAAAAAGCAAGCAAAATAATCATAGTACCAAAATACAAGTACCAGCATCATAATAAAATGCAAGTTAAGAGGTTTATGACTAACAAACATGTACTATAACATGCTAAAATAAGTTAACCACTTCTTTAAAATAAGCTGTCACTGGCTATATAGCAAACAATTTTGCTTTAAAATACCCTTTTTAAATCAAAGTAGAAGCAAATTTAGAACCATTTCTCAAGTAAACATCAAATTCCAGTTTTCCTCAATAACTTTAAAATATTCAGTTACCTAAGAAATGTACAAAGTAATGCACAACTGCCTAGTGCTTTATATTTAGTGCATATATTTCTGTTTTTCAGAAGGATCTGTAATATCTCGCACAAGAAGAAAGAAGATCAAAGGTGTATCTCTCTTTAAATTACTATTCAGGAACCATGAAAAGCATAACAGGCCATTTAGATGATTTTTGGATGTAACATTAATGTAATCAGTAACATTTTAAATAAGCACAAACAAATCAAGCCAGTAAAAATGAAGGACTATCAAATGTCATGCATAGTGCATACTGAACATCCAAAAGAACATCAGATGTAGCCTTGTTATAGATCCTGCCATTAGCACCATTTTTATATCTGAACACTTTGAAAAAACAAAAGTCTTAAAAAACTGAAATAAATACAAGGATATATGAAAACTTAATATGCACTAAAAGTGGTACTATATACTTCTAAAATATTTACATTGATACTAGAAAGCCTACTGTACTACTAAAGAAAAACTAAAAGAACTAATATGATTAATTCTTTCTATCCATGCTTACCACAGTATAGATAGGTAGCCAAATTCACCCAGCATCAATCTGCCCATATAGGAGAAGCATATATTTGACTCCTTAAAATAGGATCTCAAATATCATGATAGTAAAAGCTATTGTTGGCAAACTTAATACATTTCCAACCCTAAAACCATTTAGCAAGAAGAGTATTCAGACAACTCACCATGGCATGTATATACAACCCTTTAAAGTACCAAAACCAAAATAAAACAAAATGAAAAAACGAAAAACACAGCCCTTTATTTGTTTTTGTTTTTTTAAATGTGAAGCGTATGAACTGACATCCAACAAGCAGTATCAACACTCTGTGCAGTCATTCAATACACTCCAACAACTAAAGCATCTCTCATCCTATTAAGTCACGGTGCATAAAAAGGAAGGAGAGCTAAACTGAAAAAAGAAGCAAGGTTTTCTCTAGATGTACACTTACAAACATATGAACATAAAACTAGTCTATCCCAGTCTTAGGGAAAAAGTGCACAATTCAATTGGCATGGTCTTTCCTTTTTTTTTTTTTTCTTTTTTTTTTTTGGATTATTGATTTACTGTGTAATCAAGAGCAACCCAAACCACTTGTCAGTTCATAGTACCCAACAAAACTTTCAGTCTTCATGCCACTTCAAGTTAAAAACAAAGCAATGCAGCTTTTGGGTTTCAGAAAACCATCATCTTCTCATGCGGCATGTTTCACCACTACACTATTTCTGAGCGTTCACACTTGTCAAAGTGCAGTTAATCCAAAATTGCAGCGACAGTATATCATGCCTGCTGAATCCAGCCATGTATCTGAGATAGGGTCATATTTCTGCACAGTATTCAGATAGGAAGACCCTGAGTGTCCACCAACCACATAAAGGTAGTTATCAATTACCGCAGCACCAACTCCTAGGAAAAGCAGGTAAAAAAGAGGAAATAAACATGTGAACAGTAAATTAGGCCTTTTCTCACTATAAATAAATACATTTTTATTTTTAATGTTTTATTAAAATATATTTATATAACTTATTAGTTATACAAGTAATGTGTGCTTACTAGAAAAAGTCTCCTTAATATGAGAGTAAAAAGTTGAACTTTTTTTTTTTAATTCTGAAACATTTAATTTATATTTTGGACTTACAAATGACTATTTTCAAGTGGATTTTTCTGTAAGAATGTTAAACACAAAAATTTGCCAATTATCGGCTCCATACAAATCCTCAGAAAGGTTTTCTGTGTAGTCTTCCTTAACACAGATCTTTGTGAATGTTTCACTTTTATCATAGATCTTGAATGTGTTTCACAATAATGGAACTACAAAGTTTTTATGCAGTATATTCACTATAAACTACAACATTTCTATTGAAAGGAAAGCTGGGCAATACAACAATATGGCAGGCTCTGAGGAGCAGGCAATCTGACGAGGCTCAGTATGTCTTATTTGCCTTGTAGTTTTTGGTCATTATTTTCAAAGAGCACACGGCACAAGAGGCTCAGTAATCATCTCCCTTATTAACCTCCCTAATTTAAAAATCGGTTGTTTGTAAAACTGGACCAATTATCACAAACTATCATTTACATAATTAACCACAAGTCTGTTACAAAGCATTTTTGTTGATGGTACCAACACATGCAGAAGGATGGAAATTTATTAAAAAAAAAAAAGGGCTTTGTTAGGTTTGCCAACTCCTTAGATATCATGGGCCATGCTACCACTTCAGCTTCCAATTAGATGTTCAATGCCTCATAGTGAAACACGGATCAGTGGAAACAAGCATAACTAAAATGATTTTTTAGGTGCTGTAAAATTTCATTTGAGAAGGTGTGACAAAAAGACAAGACAAAATTTAAGCAACGTTTATATGCGCTCCAACTTTTCACTCAGGAATTCTTCTATACATCTGTGTTCCATTAAAGGATGCTTAGTTCTAAGGGAACCAGCAGTTAGTGTAATGGCTTTGTCGCTGGACTCCCATGTAGTCGACTGCGGTTCGCGTCCCAGACCTGGTGGCTTAAAAAAACTCACGCTGGGCACGTGTGCGTGCGTGCCCAAGATCCCGAGAGGAGAATGGAGGAGAAGGGATTGTGGCATGACCATCCCCCCTGGGGGGGGATTTCTCGCTTTCTGTCTCTAACAAGCTAGTTCTCGTATCAAAAAAAAAAAACCAAAAAAAAGAGCAAAAAAACAAACAAAAAAAGATGCTTAGTTCTTGGGACCAGCAGTTAGAGTAATGGCTATGTCGCTGGACTCCCATATAGTTGACCGCAGTTCGAGTCCCGGACCCAGTGGCTTAAACTCACGCTGGGCGCATGTGCGTGGATGCCCAAGATCCCGAGAGGAGAATGTAGAAGAAGGGATTGTGGCATGACCATCCCCCCTGAGGGGTGATTTCTCGCTTTCTGTCTCTGTCTGTCTGTCTGGCGAGCATGTGCGCCCTATAGTAAAAACCTCTCTCAAAAAATAAAAAGGATGCTTAGTTCTTCAGCAATGTTCCCGTTGTCATCCAAAAATTTCAGTTCAGGGTCTGAACCACAAACATACTTAAAATGCAGTCCTCCGAATAGTTTGGGTTTATCACTCCTGATGAAAGCTTGAACTTAAGGGAACCTCCTCAATTTTTATCCACAGACTTCAAGAATAGCTCCTGTATATAACTTTTTGATTTCAAGTTGTGCTTCTTCCTGATAGCATCCCCTGCAATCAGGATCCAGCTGAAGAAGGTTGAATTGTCCAAGATCACAAGAGCTGCAGAGCAAACTGCTAGAGAAGCCTAATTCTCTGCACGCCTCTGATGAAAACTCTGCCCCCAAAGCAAACACCGCCTGAAGCACAGTAGTCAAGAGCAAGCACAGCCCAAAGGCTAGCTCAAGCAATCCAATGGGCCCAGTCGCCATTGCTAGCATCTTGTCGAACTCTACCCTCTCTTCTCCAATCCTATTCTCCTACCCCCCATGACTAGAAAGTCCTATTAAAAATGTCACATATATCCTTCCATATGCTTTCTTGTACATTGATACGTATTTCTCTCTAAAATCATTCATTTTATTAGGTTTTCGAATATACTGAAATACTGGAAATACAAAGGGTAATCAAAAAGTTCATGAAAAATGCCTACAAAGAAAAAACAAGGTAGGGCTGGCAGATGGTGTGGTGGTTAAGGGTGTTGGACTCCCAAATGGCCGACCACGGTTCGAGTCCCAGACATGGTGGCTTGCTTTCTTACTTCCCTCTCTCTCCCTCTCTCTCTCTGTCTCACTCTGGTCAAATTAAAATAAAGTAAATAAAATAATTCTAAAATAAAAAACCCATGTACAAATTAAAAAATCTTTTTGTACAAAAATAAACTCAGGGGACCAGCAGTTAGTGTAATGGCTATGTCGCTGGCCCACGTAGTCGACCGTGGTTCATGTCCCGGACCCGGTGGCCTAAAACTCACGCTGGGCGCATGTGCGTGCGTGCCCAAGATCCCGAGAGGAGAATAGAGGAGAAGGGATTGCGGCGTGACCATCCCCCCTGGGGGGTGATTTCTCGCTTTCTGTCTCTATGCTCTATGTCTCTCTGTCTGTCTGGCGAGCGCACGTGCCCTATAGCAAAAACCTCTCCAAAAAAAAAACACTCATGCCGGGCATGTGTGTGTACGTGCCCAGGATCCTGAGAGGAGAATGGAGGAGAAGGGATTGTGGCATGGCCATATTTACCACTTTCTGTCTGTCGCTCTCTGTCTGTCTGGCGAGCACATGCATCCTATAGCAAAAACCTCTCCAAAAAATAAATAAATAAACTCAGTTCCCTCATATTAATAAACTATATAATTTATGTTTTAAAGACTTCTTTGGGCATTATCATACAGTTCAAAAGAGAAGTGTGGGGCTGGCAAGTGGTGCAGTGGTTAAGACAGTGGACTCTGGGAACCAGCAGTTAGCGTAATGGCTATGTCGCTGGACTCCCACGTAGTCGACCATGGTTCGCATCCCGGACCCAGTGGCTTAAAACTCATGCTGGGCCCGTGTGGGTGC